TTAAATTAAAAATAATGCAATATTTACAATCTATAATTGCATTTTTCATTCAATAAGTAAATTTGAGATAAACTTCTTGTTATGGTACCTTGGTACCTACTTACATTTTAGTATTTTACCGTATTATATTGCTGCACTGCTACGAGAAGTTGAGGATGTCAGCTTTGTAAATGTTATAGAGATTTATGATGATAAATCAATAGATATCTAATTGGGTACTTTTGCTTGGATTTGGAAGCGAGATGAAAAGGAATTGGCTTGACGAACTTGAAATGTGTGGCTTAGAATGTACAAGTAGACCAAGTAGAGTAGTACTGGAGGGMAATTTTTAATTTTAAGATCAGGTTAGTGTACAATCAATCATGGGTGTAATAGAATTATAGTTGTTATTTTTGTAAGGTACTGAGTATTTTGATTGTTATAAAATCGTATTCGGGTGTAAAATATTTTTTTTTAAATTTTTGTTGATATAATACTTGATATATTGTTTGAACTTTTAAGTCACGAAATAATTATTTAAATTTTATGAATCGTTAAGTAAAGGTTTTTTATCTATCACGAGATTATAATTTATAGTATAATTATTGTGTTTAATTTATGAATTTTATTTACAGGTAGGGTCTAAAATCTTAGGGGATAAATGTATAAAATTAAAAATCATTACTGAATTAGATATTTGTGGATGTCGTATAAAATATTATCACACTGTACAAATGTTCGTAGATTTTATTCGAGAAATTAATTTCCTTCTCTCMGTTGCAGGACAATTTGCATACTGTCAATTAGCTGCAAACGAAATATTAGAGACAATCGATGGAAAATGTATAAAAATAAATCGTTTCAATCTATATTTTATATTTATATATTTATGCACACACATATGACGTATATATAATTATGTAGGTGTACAATTTGATATTTATTATATCCAGTCTATAGATGAAATTGTTCGCAACAGCCACTTCAAAGTTAATAACATTCGGTTTTGTTTAAATATACACTATTACACTATCAACCGCACATTTTACAGTCTCGTCAATCATTGAAATGCAAGTATAATTTAATGGTAGGTACAATGGATAAAACTACATTTGGTGAAAAAAAAAAAATATACACAGCGGTATTAGACGGCCTCGTATAAAAATAAAAATAAATATAATTAGCCCGCAGACACGGGGCAAGTTAGGATTTTGTTTGCTGAGTTCATCGACGATCAAATCCGATTCCACCATCGGGGGTCGAATCTTTCAGATATTCTCGGTACCCTTCGGCGCCGGTGAATATGACGTCCACCCACACTCGGACCGCTTGGCCAGTCGCCGCCGACAGGTAGAACGTCCGCTGGGCGGTCTTTACCACGAATGCGCATCCTTGCCCCTTGGTGCTGTTCGTGTGGTCGACGTACACTTCCTGAATGTCCTGTTTATATTAACACACCGGAAACAAAAATTTCAATAAAATACTAAATAGTCGAAGACCTGAAAAATACACAACGTGGTAGGAAACTATTTGCGCAMATTTACCTAAAAGCGTAGGTAGCTCGCCTGTGCGAATTCGAGCATCCCTAAAAGCACTGCTATACAGAGTGCTGATTTACATTACAAAAAAAAAATTACTTTTCGGTGAAAACGCTTGGTAAAAGTACCTTTTTTAMCTACTATTGTTGTAATCATAAAAAAAATTTTTAAAAATGTCGTTTCGAATAGTAATAGTTCAATAGTTTTTAAATAATTACATCTCATTGAGAAATTTATATCCTACAAAAATCCTCTACTACATAGGCTACATTATCAATTTTTGGTTAAATTGAGAGAAATCTATTAGGTACACTATTAATACGTAGCGTCAATGYGCATTTACTTAATTCGGAAGTTAGTTAATCCGTGCGTAATGTGCGTATACAATAAACTCATTTTTTGATACACAGTTTAAAATTTGCTTTATCAAATTAACTCTTAGTTCAGAGTCCGGGATATTGGTAAAATCTTGGTTCAATGTGTATTAATATTTTTTGGCCGGTATTTGAAATTCTAAAATTCTATACCCTTAGGCCTTATGCATCAATTCTTCATCAAGAAATAAAATATTTAGCTTTGAAAATAAAACATTCGCATTATCAGAATTGTTACCTGAATAATAACAAAATTATATATTATGAGCACTGTTTGTTAGTCAGCTGGGTAGTGTTCAATTTCATTTGTAGTTTATATTCCAATATTTTAAATTCAAAAGAAAATTTTGGCCATCACATCATTCATATATAATAATATATAGGCTCAT